CATTGAATTCTCACAGCATCCTTGTCATGTGGGTACTTTTAGTCTCAATTTATAGATAAGGATACTGTTGTTTAGAGATAATGATTTGTTCAGTGTTGTGCAGCTAGGAAGTGGCTGAGCAGCTGTTCTTTATCTAGATCTGACTGTTCTCAGAAGTCTATGTCAGTAACCTTTTTGCTGCCTTGTGTGGTATTAAACTATCTCAATTACTAGAAATGTTTAAGCACAACTGGAATGATTCTTCTTTGTAACTTAGAATAAATTCCTGCAATTCACGAGAGTGCAGACAGGCAATGTGGCATAATAGGAAAAAGCACAGACTTTGGAGATAGTTCAGGGATGAAAAGTGTCCTATATGGGCCTTAGGATCTTGGTCAAGTCACCTAACCTCTTTGAATCACATTGTCCTCATCTCTAAAAAGGGACAGTAATACCCCTACCTCAGAGGGTTATTGGGAAGATTAATTTATGTGAGTAGCATGTGTTATGTCTTGGGGACTCAGCAAATACATGCTGTATGCAATTATTTAACTTAAACAATTATGATCATTGGACTTAGAGTACCATCATTTTCGCTTTGTCTCTATTTTTTTTGTTTTTGAGATGGAATCTCACTTTGTCGCCCAGGCCGGAGTGCCATGGTGTAATCTTGGCCCACTGCAACCTCCGCCTCCTGGGTTCAAGCAATTCTCCTGCCTTAGCCTCCCGAGTAGCTGGGATTACAGGTATCTGCTACTGTGCTCAGCTAATTTTTGTATTTTTAGTAGAGATGGGGTTTCACTCTGTTGGCCAGGCTGGTCTTGAACTCCTGACCTCAGGTGATCTACCCACTTGGCCTCCCAAAGTGCTGGGATTACAGGTGTGAGCCACTGCGCCCGCCCTTTCTATTTTTGAACATTAGAATTACATTATCTCTGAAATAATACCTGCTAATATACCAGTTAGAACAGAAGTTTTGGTTGCTAGGCTTGATTTTGTTTACAATTTTGAACAGATCAGGTGTGTAGGTTTACTTTTTATGGTTTTTCTGTTATCTCCCTTGCTGATAGCAAGTAGCAGCCATCCCCTGATTTGCTGCTGTCAGCTAGGAAACCAAAATAAAAACCAGTAGGCCTCGGCTGGGTGCGGTGGCTCATGCCTGGAATTCCAGCACTTTGGGAGGCTGAGGCAGGAGGATCACTTGAGGTTAGGAGTTCTACACTACCCTGGCCAACATGGTGAAACCCTGTCTCTACTAAAAATACAAAAATGAGCCGGGTATGGTAGTGTGTGCCTATAATCCCAGCCATGCAGGAGACTGAGGCAGGAGAATCATGTGAACCCAGGAGGCGGACGTTGCAGTGATGAAATCACACCACTGAACTCCAGTCTAGGTGACAGATTGAGACTCCATCTCAAAAAAAAAAAAAAAAAAAAATTAATAGGCCTTGGAGGCAGTCTGAAGGGCTTCCTGTTACTAGAATACATAGGCATTAATACATGGGATTTAACTATTTTGGTGACCTGTAGGCCATTTTTGTTTTTCCCTGTTTCTTGGCTATTTAGGGAGTTGGAATTATTAAATAAGTAAGCTATAACTGGATGTAACATGATTTTTGCCTTCCCTTTAAAAAAATTTTTTTTAAAGAGACAGAGTCTCACTATGTTGCCTGTGCTGAACTCAAACTCCTGGATTCAAGTGTCTGCCTTGGCCTCTCAGGTAGCTGGGACTATAGATGTGTTCCACCTTGCCAGGCTGATTTTAGGTCTTGAAGATTACAATTTAGTACAGAAAACAAACCTCATGATTGACTTAAAGACTAGGATTTTATAAGCATAGTGTTCATTTAGTATTGTATACTGTAATGTTATAATACTGTGTTGAGTGCCTGTTTACCATGTGCCAAATGTGACACTGATTGCACTTCATATAGGACCTTTGCAAATCTTCCAAACAGTCCTATGAGGGAAATATTAATATCATCCTCATTTTATAATACTAAACTACAAAGAGGTTAGACAACTTGCTCAGTTTCCAGAGATTTAAATGCAGGTCTGCCACAGTCCAAAAGCCAGATGATTTTTAACACAGAGGAAGAGGTGGACCATAGTCATAGAAAACAGCTGTATATAGAGAGGAGTGATTACTTGAGCTGAACCTAAATGGACAGGTGGGGTTTTTTGATGTGATATGTTAGGTTGGGTCGGGAAGGTGGATGAAGGAGCTCCTGGGCTGAGAAGAGAGTCTGAGCAAAGTGGGCCTGAATATCCTGCCTGCATTGAGGAGGTGGGATGGAGGCAGAGAGATACCTCTGTGACCAAAGAGAAGGGTGCAATTTGAGAGGGAGTAGGAAGCAAGGTGAGAAAGTTATTATTTTTATTATTATCATAAGACGGAGTCTCTCTCTGTCACCCAGGCTGGAGTGCAGTGGTGCGATCTTGGCTCACTGGCAACCTCCGCCTCCCAGGTTCAAGCAATTCTTTTGTCTTAGCCTCCTGAGTAGCTGGGACTACAGGCACATGCCATCACATCCAGCTAATTTTTTTGTGTGTTTTTAGTAGCGACGGGGTTTCACCATGTTGGCCAGGCTGGTCTCAAACTGACCTCAAGTGATCCACCTGCCTTGGCCTCTTTGAGTGCCGGGATTACAGGGGTGAGCTACCACACCTGGCCAGGTAGGAAAATTAGATTAGGGCCAGATTATGGAGGCTCCTAAAGAAGAGGGAATTGAATTTGAAGGTGATGCCATAAGGAAGTGATTGTAGTTCTGTTTGTTGCAGTAGGGAGCGGGGTATTAACATGTTGACAGCTGCGCTTTTTGAATGAATTGGTATGACAGTGGCCAAAGATGGGCAGTCCAGTGAGGAGAGATTGTTGTACTTTGCTAGTGATGAGATGAGGAAAGCCTGGGCTGGGGTGGGGATAGTGGAAGGAAGTGCAAACTTGAAAGGCATTTTCAAAGAAGACATGACAGGATTTGGCAAATTGGGTGCCAGGGAATGAAGAGATGGGGAAATAGCCATAAAGTTACATCACTAGGGGAGGAGAATAATGGCAGAATGGGGAAGTGAGATTAATTTTGTTTGTTTGTTTTGGAGATGGAGTCTGGTTCTGTCACCCAGACTGGAGTGCAGTGGCACGATCTTGGCTCACTGCAGCCTCCACCTTCTGGGTTCAAGCGATTCTCTTGCCTCAGCCTCTGTGTAGCTGGGATTACAGGCATGTGCCACCATGCTCAGCTAGTTTTTGTATTTTAGTAGAGATGGGTTCCATCATGTTGGCCAGTCTGGTCTCGAACTCTTGACCTCAAGTGATCCGTCTGCCTTGACCTCCCAAAGTGCTGGGATTACAGGCATGAGCCACCGTGCCTGGTGGGAGATTAATTTTGAATTTTGGCCTTGCAAAACCACAACTGGTAGGAGCCATTTCACTGACGCATACTGAACACTCCCTAGCCTAGCATCCACACAATGCCTGTTCTGGCCATGGAGGAGAACACTTCAAAAGGAGGCACTGCGGAGGGTGGGAAGGGTAGAGGAGCATGGTAGGGAATGGGAGGGGCAGATATCTTCCAAAGTTTTCGGTTCTCCTGACCTGCTTTGCCCTGGGTTCACTGAATGCAATATTACAGTCATGGCAAATGCTACCATACTGATGTGCTTAACACAGAAGTAATGTTTCCTAGAGGGTAAGCTAAAACTCTTGGAGGGAGTGGGAGGTTTTTAAATCTTTGTATTATTATTGTACTGTTAATGTTCATCCTTCTGAGTCTGTATGTTTAAACTGAGAGTGAATACTATTATGAATTTACAGTACTCATGTTGGAAATTGCTATCCTCATTTAGAAACCGTTAACCTTTATGTTAATAAACTATCGTTCTTAACTGAGCATATGAAATCTGTGCTGAACAGCTGCAGTCTTTCCGGAACACTAACTTAAAAAGTGCTCATCATACTTTTTGAAAATCAGAAGCATGTGGGTGGGATGAAGTCACCTGAGCAATTTTCTGTAATTACAATTTTCAAGGCCTTTTCCTTTGTCTTTTTCCAACTAACCTAAAACACGCATGCATGCATGCGCTTACACACACACACACACACACACACACACACACACACCCACCAGCAGCAACCTGTGATTTTCTTCTTTTTCTCTATGGACTTTTTGGCCTTGTTTTTGTTAAATAGTTGCAGTTCCCTGGGAAGGTATGTGTTTTCCTGTTCCTTCTCTGGTTTATTTGAAACCTTGTATCTCTGAGAACTTTGGAACCCCCAGAACAGGCTAGATGTCCACCTAGACTTCCAAGCTTTGAATACCCCATCCTAAAGAATTTCTAGGCACGTTAGATCTAAACTAATTCCCCTAGGGTGCTACTGGAAACCCCAAAATGCCGATATCCTAGAGAATGACCAGAAACATGCTCAAGTTGTTACACATTTTTTCTGTATGTGGCTGAGGCTCCTCAGTGCCATCCTGGTCAGCCAGTACTGGAATGTGACAGAACTGGCATTTGCGCCCAGGAACAGCCCACGCTGGGAATTCGCTTCTGCATTCTGATAATTAAGCCTGGTGTGCTACTAATATTGTTTCCTGAAGTAAGAAGAGCTAGGGAATAATATAATTTCCACTTGTACCTTTTAATTAACGGAGGAATGGAATGGAAAGGGTTTTAAAGAAGACTTTCATGAGAGAGGATTAGCACCTGGCGTAGTTTGGTAATTCCATCATTGTTGAACACATTTTAAGAATACCACTGCCAGTTTTTTCAATAAGGTAACTGAAAATAATTCTAAACTTTGGCTTATTTTATGTGCAGAATAAAATTTTTGGTTTTCCAGAAGCATTCAAGAAAGGCCTTGCTAAAAAGTGTTAGGCGTGAAGCAGTGTAATATGTTTGTCTTGCTATTTTAGGGGTCACTCCTTCATCTTCCTCTTCTCTTTCCCTAAGTAACCAAAGCTCTTCACCCAGAGTGGAATTTGGGGCCTATATTTTCTGTTCTTTTTTTTTTTTTTAATTTTAAAAATACGGAACGCTTCACGAATTTGCGGGTCATCCTTGCCCAGGGGTCATGCTAATCTTCTCTGTATCGTTCCAATTTTAGTAGATATGTGCTAAGTAGATAAGTGAGTACTTATATTTTCTTTAATATCATGTAGCTCTTTCTTGTTACTGAAAGCAGAGAGAGCTTTTTCAGGGAGGTTAAAATTATCGTTATCTTATTATCGTGTTATTTTTCCTTCTTAGTAAGTTATGAGCAATGATTTTCTTTCCTGAAGCTGTCCGAAAAGATACTCTTATGCATGTATATAGTGCCTGGGGTCATAGAAATTAGGTATTATGTCATTTGTTTCAGAAGATACACTAATGCTTCAAAAACTAGTGACAGGGAAAACGGAGTGTAGTTCTTAATCTTGTTGCCTCAAAACTGAGCAAACGTTTTGGGAGAGCAAGTTCTTGCTGGACATCACTAAATAAGAATGAGTTGATGTCACGCTTGGCAAGAAGCAACTCTTTAAAAATTTTTTTTCCATACAAATAGTACAGCATGGCTGGGAGGAGGGATTGCGAGCAAAGGGTAAAGAATTATGGAGGGAAAATAAGCAGGAGAAGGAATGTGAGAATGAGATCTTGCTACAAAATAATTAATATGCAAGCAAAACCATGTTTGTTTTGTCAGGAAGAATCTGAGTTAGAACATGAGCTGCTGAAGGGGAGAGATGTTTACCGTGTCCTCCCCCACACCCTCAGAGGGCCGTTGTGCACAGATCCCTGCGGAGGGTTGTGTAACCGTTTTGACTTGTTTTCAGAGAAGAATGGCCCCTGTAGCTCTTTTGGCTCAATATAATGCTGCATCAAATACGACTGAAGAAGTCTCTGGAATACAGTTCTATCAAACTCAAAAGATGGTCATTTTAATGAGAATTTCCAAACACCGGGAGGTAATACCGTGCAGACTATGTGCCCCCACCTGTCTCCTCCTTCCCAGATGTTTGTGCAGTATTGGGAATTTAGGCAGTCCAATCAATGGCTGATTTTACAGTTTTCCTACAAGACAGAAAATGTCAAGATTAGCCAAGTATTTATTGAAATTAGCTGGAGTTATCTGGCTACATGAGTGTCTGTGGTCCGGTGTGTCATAATAACAGTGGGATAGTAGGCTGGGATGCTACTGGCATCTTGGGTGGGCCAGCCTTTATTGTGTGTCACTGCTGTGTATCGGCAGTTTTTGTCCCTGCCCACTAAATTGCCAGTGGTGCCCCAGCTTCTGTGATGTCCAGGAAAGGCCCTTCTTCCAAATTCCTTCTGTGTTTCAGGGGAGCTAAAACAGTATGTGTTTTACAGTATTACTAAGCAGCATAATTTTCTTTGTTGTTCATTTGCATAAAAATCTTAGAAAGTCTTAAGAAGTCGTGCATTTATAATGTAGCATAGGTTTGATTCAGAGTGAATTTCAGCAAAAACGTTTGGAAAAATTGGATGGAGGGAAGGAGAAAAAAAAGGCAAAGTGCAAAAGGGTTTCTTAACTAACACACTGTTGTTCCCCGAATCCACACTCTAGCTCTGTGGGTGATTGCTCTTTATTTTCAAGAGCCTGGGGTGGAGGTCAGGGTTGGAGGTAAGGTAGAGGGGAAGTAAGAGAACAGAAGATGGGGGAAGAGGCAGGCAGGAATAAAAGATTTGGATTGGAATATAAAGATGGAAGTCAGTGGAGATAATGAAAGACCATAACAAAGCAACTGGAGATTTTACATGGCATTGTTAAGTTTGCAGTGTTGGCTTTTTTTTTTTTTTTTTTTTTTTTTTGAGACAGAGTTTCGCTCTTGTTACCCAGGCTGGAGTGCAATGGCGCGATCTCGGCTCACCGCAACCTCCGCCTCCCAGGTTCAGGCAATTCTCCTGCCTCAGCCTCCTGAGTAGCTGGGACTACAGGCACGCACCACCATGCCCAGCTAATGTTTTGTATTTTTTTTTTTAGTAGAGACGGGGTTTCACCATGTTGACCAGGATGGTCTCGATCTCTTGACTTCGTGATCCACCCGCCTCGGCCTCCCAAAGTGCGCAGTGTTGGCATTTTGAGGACAATTCTGAGTACCACAAATCTAGAACTTCTAAAAGAAAAACCCTCTAAAATAATTATATCAGTTAAAGACCTTTGCACACATGTTAAATTAATAGTATTTAATGTCCCTTTGTAGGTTTCATCTTTTAAGCCTGTCCTGCAAAAGACTGTGTCCTTCTAGGTGCTTAGCCAGGAATTTAGGCATGCTGTCACCTGTTGTTTTCATTATCACTTCTGAGTAGCCATTTTTCCCTTAGATTTTATTAACTGAGTCAGTAACTGAAAGTGTTATTGTTTTCCACTCATCTGGACTTTCTGAAAATAATACAGTGCTTTATTGGAAAAGCTAAGCGTAGACATTAGCCAAATGTTTGTTAAAAATTAACCAAATTAAATGTTATTAAATAAGATGTGCAAATAGAGGAAAATTTTGAGAAATAGGAACAGATCCCACTAATCTTTGTTGTCAGTCACTACTTACAACCTTGGCTTTGCAGCAAGCATGAATTAAGTAGAATAATGTTTTTCGTAATGCTTCCCCTATCTTTTAAGTTGGTTTGAAAACATTCAGTTGCATATGTACCACTGGATTTTTTAGCTGTTTCACTGGTTGTTACCCTGGCAGCCTTCCTTCAGTAAAAGTCTTGTTTTTGTCATGGGCTATTTCTCTGAGCAGCCAATGTTTTGCCCTCTCCCTGTCTAATCGTTCAGGCTTGGTAACTCTTAGAGTAGAAATTACCTTGGTCAACCACATGACGAAAGAGTGGGCATGGGTTTTCCTGAATGTCTCCTGAGGTGACCAAGGGTGGAGCGGTGGTAGTGTAATAAACTCCATGGGAAGTGGAGCCATAGATTCCATCAGCTTTGCAGAGGGGCCTTAGACCCAGCAGGGTTTAAGAATTGCTGCTGTGGATAGGAAGCCTTATCCTCTATAGAGATTATCAGCTGCTGCCTTAGAATTTCTTTTTCATTTGCACTATGTCAGCATACAGAAAAAAAAAATAGCAGATACCTGTGTATTCATCAAATTTGTCATATTTTAGTATTTTGACATATTTGCTTCAGATCTCTTTCCCTGCAGGAAGAAAAATATACATTTCAAATAAACTTAAAACCCCTTCCCCACCCTTTGTGTCCTTCCCTGGTATTCCCTCCTCCTCCCACTCCTCAGGGAATTATTGATCTGATTTTGGCATTCATCATGCCCATGTGTTTTTTTCATGGCTTGTTTTTTTCCTACATATTTTTGTATATCTAAGTAATGTAGAATATTCTTTCACTTGTTTTGACCTTATGTAAATTGTGTTCTGTATGTATCCTTCAGCTACCTGTGTAACTTTTTCTTTTCCTTATAATTTTGAGATTTATCCAGGTTGATATATGCCTTATTTATTTTCACTGCTCCGTAGTGTTCCGTCAGATGAATATTTCACAGTGTATTTATTCATCTACTTATTGATGAATATTTGGGTTGTTTCCAGTTATTTCACTATTAAACAGTTTTGTAGTGGACATCTTTGTACATGACTCCTTTTGTACAAGTATGAGAGCTTTCTCTAGGGTTTGTAACTAGGAGCAAATTGCTGTCTAGTAGGGCACATGTATTTTCAGCTTGACTAGATATAGCCAATTCACTCTTCAAAGTGATTATGCTGTTTTATCGCCTTAGTACCTTTATATGAGAGTTCCTGTTGTTCCACATCCTCAATAAAACTGGATATTGTCCCAGCTGTTCCTTGTTTATTGATTAAAGACAGCATTGTACTTAGCAACCATGTCCAACACAGGGTCAGAAGCAAACTTAATTTTCTTATACCATGCTTCTTCCTTTTAAAAGAATTGTTTTGGTTTCTGACTTATAAATCCAACATAACCATAACATAGCTTTTTTTTGTCATATGTATTTTTTAAATAATCTTTTTCTCTGATCACAAAATGAATATACAATTATTTTAAGGAACTTGGAAAACAAAATGATGAAAAAGAAAACTAAATTCTACTACCTAGACATAGCCATTGTTAATAACTTGCTATATTTTTCCTTCTAATGTAGACCTGTGTAAGGTATACATTTATTTTATAATTAAAATCTGTCATTTTATATCACAGTTTTACTTAAAATTCTATTGTGACATTTCCTGTGTCATTGAATATTGTGTAAAACCACCATCTAAATAGCTGGATAACATTTCTTTCTGTAAATATGTTGTATAGTTTAATTATTCTTTCATTGGAAGACATTTTGGGTATTAAAATGATACTGGAGTACAAAATCTTGGTACTTATATTTCATCTGAATTTATTTCTTTTGGATAGGTATTTAGAAGAGGCCAGTAACTATTAATGGAATTAGATTGGATGGATGATAAAAGCAGGGCATCAGGGGGGAGAAAAAGTCAAGAGGGCAAAACAACATGTTTCAGGATCATGAGGTTCATGAATTCAGCTTCTCTCATATTTGAGTTGAGTGGCAAATCTGTCTCTTACCTGAATTTGGAGATCCTTCTCTAATTAGATCCTTCTCTAATTAGGGGTGTATTAGAGGGATGATATTAGAGGGAAACTCTGCCTTACTGTGGACACCAGAGAATTGGTTGTGTATTGTAGTGTTCAAGGGTTTTATCATTCAATATTCTACTTCCTGCAGAGTTCCTGACTTGAGTATCTTTTACAGAATATTTCATTGAAGTAGACTTTTAACCTTGACTTGCTCAACCTCTAATTAGAAGCAACTCATTGTCATATAGGGAAGTCTGCTCCTTTATGGAACATCTTTGAGTAGTTGAGTTCCCCTTTTTCCCATAAGCCCAGATTTGATTCCCTGTAACCTTCATGCATTCTTTAACTTGTTTAAAAGCTCCCTAAAAATAATTCTGCAAGTATTTCAACTTTATTTCTCTATTAGCTTCTATAATTAACATGAAAACAAAGTCTAAAGTTTCAAGTCTTTTTTTCCAAGGCATAATTTAGCTTTATCATGTCTTCATAGTGAAAATTATGTATGTGAACATTGGTAGGATAGAAAAACTTTTCACATAGTTTTATACTTGGTATCCAGAAA